GATGACAACGACAACAAAAAATCAACAAGCAATAGCAATTATAATACGGACAGACTAGTCTATAAACCGGCTACGAAGATCGAACAAACTACTCTATCAAACCAGCTGCCACGATCGAAAAAAATAGTCTATCGAGCCAGGTAGGAAGATGGAAAAAACTAGTTTATCAAGCCAGGTAGGAAGATCGAAAAAACTAGTCTATGAGACCAGCTAGGAAGATCGAACAAACTGGTCTATCAAACCAGCTAGGAAGATCGAAAAAACTTGTCTATCAAGCAAACTAGGAAGATGATCTTCTTCATCATCATCTTCATCAGTTTTTGGTGGGATTCCTTTGAGCCGTCTCCGGGTTGTCTCACCATCTACCCTCTCTGTAGAAGACAGGCCCAAAGAAATCATCATCATAATCATCAAGATCAACATGACACATCATTGTCAACATCACCATCACCCATCACCAGCACGTCACATCATCGTCGAGCATCAGGTCGCCATCGTAATGTCGCGATGACCATGTCGTCATCATCCCCCCCCCCCCAGCTTGGCCCAAGATCCAAATTGACGACCGAAGTCCAACCTCCGAAATCCCGACAGCTAAAAAACCTCAAAAACGGCGTGCGCCGTGAGCTAAAAGTAGATAGCGAGTGGACAGCTTCTAGATTCTAAACCCTAAGCGGACAGATAAAAAGGAGATGTCGCGTGGCAAACCGTTAACCCAAAGAAGACATTGGGTTGAGAACCCTTACAAAGAAAACATGTTTGGGAAACCCCAAACCCTAACAACATGTGTCGCAAGGGAAATCCAAAGCTGCACTATGAACATGAGGCCAAAAGAATGTAAACCTCGAAGGGGGATGATACTAGTAGGTGGGAAACCCTGGCCCTAAAACCCGAAACCCGAAAATCGATAGCAGGTGGAAGCTGTTCGGTGAGATGCCCCCACACCGTCGTTTGGACCACACCAAACCACAAGAAAAGTGGTGGTGGAAAGCTGTCAAACCGAAAAGGACATGTTGAAGGGAGATGTCGTGTGGAAACAGCACAACCCTACAGCATAATGACAGGAATGCTCTAATAAGTTGGAAGGGAAACCCCAAACCCGAAAAAGCAGGTGTCGAGTGGGAGACCCTAAACCCTACAAGAACATAACGGCTGGAACGCTTCAAAGGGATGGGGAACCCGAACGCCAAACCCCAAATCACACAATTATTTGTATTTGTGTATATCGCTGTATATATACACATATAGTTATAGTGGAAGGTCTTGGGTGGTAAACCCTTAGACTCCAACAGCCAGTGTTGTGCGAGCAACCGAATCTAAAGAAGCATGTTGACGCGACATGCCGAGCCGCCGAGTGGGAAACCGAATGGCTTGAACACTTCGAAAGAGATGTTGGGCGGGAAGCCCTGACTCAAAACCCGAAAACCTACAAGTCCTCCAAGCTGTATAGAGGGTAAATGTCCGCAAACGCAAAGAAGAGCCATGCTTTTCAGGAAATTGGCCAGGTCGCTGCCAGGAGGCCCCGGCTTCCCCCGGACCCGCCAGGCCAGACCCACAAACAACCGTGTGCTACTTTGGGGTCTATCTTCGCCTGACGGCATGGCTTGCCGACGAGGCACGTAAGCGCCAGGAGCGGAAGCCGAAGTCCAGCTCCAGCTCTTGGCCTCCATCTGCCTCTCTGGTCCAGGACTTAGGGTGCTGCAGGGATAGCGAAAATCGTGGGAGCACTAGGTGCCAATCTTACAGTGCATGATCAGCCCGAGCTTCTGAAAGCCGGCACAGCTTCCGCAAGTCGAAAGACTTCTTGATAGCACTTGCCGGCGACTGCATGTAGCGGAGGAAACAGCCTTGATGCCACGTGGTGCATGATCTGGCACGGCCTCCCATGTTTCACAAGTTTGCCGAGGCTGTAACCTTCAAGACGAAAATAGCGCTGCTGCCACCTGTCCAATTGAGTCCAATTTCATTCAGCCAACTGAGCCACAGGAGCATTGAAGGGCCGAGCCTCCCCGAGATCTTTCCGGAGCTTCGTTTCGCAAGCCAACCCTCGTGGCTCATCTCTCTGTGTTCCTTGCATTCCTTGCCTGCGAAAGAACAGTCAGGCAGTCAGATGCTGAGGATGCCAGAGGATCGTTGCCTGAGGACCATCTCGAGACCACGCGGTCACGGTCACGCAAACCGCGGTCACCGCCTCTCGGGTGGCGCGCAGGCACCGGGACTGCGCTGTTGCTCCGACCCGAACCTGGAAGAGATCTGCTACGCAAGTTGCGTGAGGCAATGCGGTCCGCCAGGCTCTCGCGCTGCCGTGGGCTTTGGGACTCGGTCAAGACTATTTGGATCCAGCGAGGATGCACCTCCAACTGAGATGCTGACTGCTGATCTGAGCATCAACTGTTGTGAACGTTCCACGGCACACGAGAACTCGCAAGAATCCTTCAGCCGAGCTAACGAAACAGACTGAAGCAAAGTAATAACTTGAGCCCGCAGGTGCGTGGAAAGTGTCTATGCGCGGCAGCTTTCTTGCAATCACCGTGATCCCCGGAATTTCTGAATATAGCTTTGCAACAATGCCGTCTATCAAGACCGCTCTTATTCCTAACACCTGATCACCCCAGCCTGCTCCAAACCTATGGGAGGGGACTAGATCTTGGGCAGTGCGATTGGGGTTCATTTAACCTTGCGTAGACCCTCGTCACCTGAATTCCTACCCCACAACTATGCTCCGAAGAAATACAGCGAAGAAGCAGCTCCTGCCCGAAGCGCCCATACATCTGTGTGACCCTGTTCCCGTTTCCTCTAAGCCCCTATTTGGAGGTACCTTTCCACTGCGCACCACGCCTGCACATACAATACACTTTTCTACCGACTGCCTGCGAGACGGCAGGCGGCATCTCTGCGAAGTGCGCAGGCTCGGGTGAAACATCTGTTTCAAAGGCAGTGGCACGTCGTCGGGTGTGTCGCACCCAGGATCGTGCAAGTGCTCGGCAGTACTACAGCGACTGCATGTAGTTGCGGCCAACACAGCTTTCGAACTCGCACTGCTGAACCTGAACAGACGGGCATCCTGTTCCGACGAAATGCTGGCTGAAGCACAACCATTGCCGAAAACAACGCCCCATAGACGACTCATCAACATCAAACAACTGCAGCAGTCACGTTTCTCTCGGCAACCTCTCCGTTCGTGTCTCCTTCTTCTTATGACGCAAACGCACGCAGCGCATGTCTGATCTCTTTTCGCTCTCCTTTGCCCTGAAATTGTGATTCTCCGCCTCCACTTCCTGCTTTCCCTTTTTGACTCGAAAGACAACAATATCGTCATGGATGCACATGCGGATGGTGTCATTGGTCTCTCTGCCTCGATGACGGCTGGCTTGCCGGCAAAAGGGCGTAGTGCTTCCTCCCGAAAAGGGTGCATATTTAGTCATCGCAACCTCCTGTAAAGCCTATAAAAGTTTCAAATCAAGGAAGCCGGCTGACGACCGAAGTGTCCGAACATTTCGGAAATATAGTGCTGCTTCAAGCCAACCTCTGCAGACTGTCCACACCGGTCTCCCAGAAGCAATCCAGCGAGTTCTTCCTCCTTCAAGTCTCTCATAGATATACAAGACTTCAACTGGAGATCACATCAGGGATCTCCTCCAGGAAATTCTCGTCATCCTCGTCGTCCTCACCACTCTCCATGCTGGCAGGGGAGGACTCCTAGCAGCGAGGCGGCCATGCCCTGGACTGCCACTGACAGGGACTTGCCACGACTGACGACGAGAGCAAAAAATCATGTGCACCATAGTGAGTAACACAAGGACGACTCCAGCTTCAGGAGCCGGGGGTTGTTGCTTGGCCTTTTCTACCGAATAGCATCCGTTCTTGGGCATGGGGCATTCGGTCGCCGCATAACCGAGACACGGGAGATGTGTGAAGTCTTAGCTTCAATCGGCATCACACAGTCTACCCAAATGGCCTCATTGCCTCAGCTTCATTGCCAAGGTCGACTAATGCTCCCAGCTCGTTGGGAACTCGCTGCAACTGGTGCTGCGGGCACAGTCACGTGCTGCTATTACTTCCCGGTTCCTTCCCTCATCCTGGTTTGTGCCTATAGAAAGAATTGAGGGCCTGTAGACGACTTGGTAGAAGCGTGCAATTGTTCAGTTTAAGACCGTTTCAAGACGCGGAAAGCAAACAAACGCATTCTACCCAAAGCCCACACGGATTTGGCGAGGCAACTAAATCACAGAAGCCGCTGAGCTTGGGTCTCACTCCCGGAGTTACAGCGACAGTCTGCAGAAGTGTGGCTGTCTTTGGTAAAGTGCTACTCATCGAGCACCATGCAAAAGGACAGGATGAAGCAAGGAAGCCAATCCTCTTCGACTCCGGGGTTGAGCTGCTCCAACAGATATTCAATCCTTATATTTCACAAGGATGCACGGTGCCGCCAAAAACATTATTGTTCTTGTTAGTGGTATTACTATTGCTATAATTCCTCTTATTGCTATTGTTGTTGTTATGCTTATTGTTATTGCCGATTGTTATTGTTACTGCCTTGCTTAGTGCGAGTATTCTTGCTATTTTCCTGTTATTGTTATTGTCCATGCTATTGATCTTGTTCTTTCTCTTATTATTCGTATTGCTCTTGTGCGTGCTATTGCTCTTGTTATTGTTGTTCTTATTATTGCTCTTGTCGTTCATATTGCTTTTGTTTTTTCTTACTTTAGTCTTGTCACTATGTGTTCTTCTAGTTATTGTTATTGAAATTGTTTGTGTTCGTCTTTTTTTTATTACTGGTAATCGTTCTATCGTACTTCTTGTTGTTATTCTTCTTGCTACTATCATTATCTTTCTTGCTGTCACTCTTTGTGTTATGCTTGTTGTTATGCTTGATGTTCGTCTTGTTCTTCGTGCTGCTGTTGCTGATCTTGCTGTTGCCCTTGCTCTTGCGCTTGGTCTTGCTCCTGATCTTGCTCTTGCTCTTGCTCTTCTTCTTCTTGATATTATTACAATTATTTTTATTCTTGCTTTTCTTGCTTTGGTGGCGGCTGTGATGCTGCTTCTTTTGGTTTATGCTGGTATCTAGCAACCCGTCGTGAGGCTGGAGGAACGAGGCATGCTGTTGTCACGGTGTTCGTACCAAGGATCTGCCGGACCGCGATCTCATCGCCGAGGCTGCTTGCCTGCGGCTCCACCACATTGCTCATGAGCATGGACATACTACTAGGCCTGCCAGGCTTTTACATCCTCTGACTCTGAGGCTAAAATACGGCTGCCTGGCGATGAATTGATCGAAGCGCTAGCTCCAATCCCTCACGGCGAGCGGACTGGCGGAATTCCGGAAGTGACAGCAGCGAGTACAGCCTCGAATGTAAGAAAACGAAAAACTGAGAATTCCAAGGGCCCCCGTAAGCGGTGTGTCTCATTTGCAAACCGTGGAGCGTCCCATTGATGTGGGTCCTTCTGCGAGATGTTGGAACTTTACACTTCAGGCGTGGGAGCGCCCGCTGTCTACTGCCTCAAGCTCTGAAGCACCGAACCCTGCACGCAAGCCCTGGTATTTGCACACTCGGCTTGAAGACCGAAGACCCGTTACCAGGAATCTCAAGCAAGTGAAGTGGATGGAGGTCGGTCATGGGGGCGGGCTGTCGCCGCAGGCTGTCTACTAGGGGATCACCCAGCACAAACTCCTGATCTGCGGATTCCAATGCCTCAGGGCAACATCAACGATCCCGGAGGCCATGGTTGTTGAATGCAGTTGTGCAGCAAACACGACAAGACTTCAGATCAGCCGACTGATTTCGCAGGTTGCTGACTCCCTTGCAGGACCGGAGGTATGTCAATGCAATGCCGGCAAGGCACTCCATGAGCTTCATTGCCATCGGCAGAACATCTTGCTCCAGGCACTTGCGCTTCCCGGTCGAGCGAAGGGCCAGGTTCTGCCGCACGAAACCCAATAACCGTTCCAGCGCTCACTCAGCGCTAATTGATGCAAGCGAGGTGCCATCAGCATGGCTGAACCAAATTCCAGAGAGAACTCGGAGGGAGCGCGAGAAGCACCCTGTGCGGTGCCCCGGACGCTCATCACAGCTTTGTTCTTTCTTTCCGCACTCTTCGAAACCTCTTCCTGGGAGGATAGCACGCCGATCGCCTTGCAAACATGAAGGCTGCAAATGCTGCCGGCTTCACACGACATGACACCTAGTCCGGACTATAATCGCCCAGCAGCCCATTCGACCATGCCCATCTCAATCATGCGATCCTCTAGGCAACACGCTCCAACAGCTGCGCCGCAACGAGGCTCGCGGCTCTCACGTGCGCTGGCGTGTGCCGGCGTGTGCCGGCGTGTGCCGGTTCTGCGAGGTCTCTCTGCTCCTGCGCGGACCTTCGAAGAGAAAGGCGCTGCATAGCGGCGAGAACCTGGATGTGGATGGAGGAATCCTCAGGGCTCGGGCTTGCTGCAATGGCCACACAGAGTGGCTGAGCCGGCGTGCCAGCGGCTTCGACTTAAGCAGCTCCACCATTCTGGCAGGAAAGGATATGGCATCGCGCTGTCTGGGATCGGATGGAGGATGGAGGCAAGGAGCCCACTGGCCCATTACCGGACCGGGGCCGCCGGCCTCCTCACACTCGCGCCGCTCGAAACGATGTAGCTCCGCCCGACTGCCTCGCGAGGTCGGCTCGGACTTTGCTGTGACGCAACCAGGCTCACGGCGCCGGGCTTCGCAGGCGAGCACGGCCAGAATGCCAAGCCTGAGACTTCTCAACTTCACGGAGCTGGAAATGAGCCGAACCTTCGGCCCCTGAGTGCTGCGCGTCAGCTCTGAAACCTCCTCCAAAAGAGCAGGCAAAGCGGCTGGCTGGTCACGTACCTGTCGTCGCCGCAGATGCACGCGTGACCGCCGAATACCTTCGTTGCCGAGCCGCGCCGAGCACGTCGAAGCAGGTGATCGCGACCAGGAAACCCCGGCGCTGGGGGAGTGGCGACTCTGAAGCCAGCCTAAGGCGACGCCCAAAATGCCCCTAGAGCCTGCTTCTATGAGCGCGCCGTGTGACGTGACGAAGTGTTGGATCACGCAATCACTCGCGCCGCACCTTGAACTCCAAACCGGTGCCCATGTACAGGTCTTGAACCGAAGATCACTGTGCAGTCGTTTCAGTGATCAGGCATGCGACATTTTTCCAGTATCCTATGCATTGAGACCGTGGTCTTCTTATGATCCATCCGCAGTGCATGGGCAAGTCCTGGTCCCTGAGTCGCCGACGTCGCGCGAAGAAACCACTATCCCCTTGCACCCCTGAACCCCTCGCTCCCACCATGCCACACCTCAAGCCCCAGAGTCGTCCCTCAAACGCTCGCGACAGCCTCCCCAGCTGTCCCCGTCGACGGCAGCGTCGTCCCTCGAACACTCGCTTCATGCCGCCATCGCTACACACCAGGAGACCCTGTGTACACTCTTAGGTTTTTTGCCATCCCCAAGATCCCCAAAGCCCAAGCCGGCGCTTGGCCGGCCAAGCCTTGAGGGTCTCTGAGGGTCTGGCCGTTGGAGGACGGCACGCAGCACCTGGGGCAATGCAACCTCGCCGAAGGCTTCTCGGCGCTCCTCAAGGTCACATCTGCAACCCTCAGACTCTGCCCAGAGGAGCTGAGCGAGCATGAAGCTGCAAGTATCTGCAGTGCAAAGCGCAAGGCTCCTGCGGCGATGCGCAAAGGAAGCGCTTCAAGGCCCCAAAGTCAATCCTCGGAAAGCGCCCCTCTGATTCAAGAGTTCTCTGATTCTCTCCGAATTCTCCAGCCCCTCACCGGTGTGCCAACTGTGGCCGCGCCGTGGCCGCTCGACTGCGCACACTGCGAGCAGGGCTCATGGGACAAGCGCCAGGCCTGGTCAGGCGCCCTACTGAAGCGCACAAATGTCACACTGCTACCGATGTCGAGGGTTCTGTAGCTGGGAGGATCCTCTCTGCGAGTCCTGCGGGGGAGAATTGGCAAGCCGTCTTCACATGACATGCCTTGCGGCCGTGAGCTTGGAGAACTGAAAAGTTTCACGATCAATTGCTTGACAACCGTGGTCTCCCGAGCGAGTCATGAATTTGGGCCTGACTTGTGGGGTAGGAATTGTTAACATGGCTAACCCCTGGTGAGCCAATTTTAAGCCCAACCCCTTGCACTCGTCGCCGCGGGATTTGGGTGTTCAGGATTTCGGCTAGAGGTAGCCAGAGCGTAGCGTTTGGGAAAAGGTTTTGCTAGTGTGTGTGGTCAGAAGCTACAGCCAGCTCCTTAGCTTTGGAAATCCGCTGCAGACTTCGGATTAGAAGACACACCGCGAAGATGGGGCCTACTTGGGCCATCGCCCTGCCATGGTCAAATCTCCAAGCTTGAGGCTGTGGGTCTCTTATGATTCCAAAGGGTGTTTCGAGATTTGAGAATCGTTTTCTGTGTAGAGTTTGGAGTTGAGGCCATGCCTTGGGGCTTTGAGTTTTCGAATCTACAAATTCGAGCTTTAAGTTTTCTGGTTCGGCAAGTTTCGTTTTTATTACGCTTTTACGTGTGTTTCTTGTGGAATACTGTTATTTCTTTAACCGATGTAGAGTTGTGGGGTTTGCCTCCCATTTTCCAAAGCCACAAAATTTAGCATTCGTCAAGCTCCCGAATCCTGCATCCGCACCGCGAGTGCAGAACAGAGCGGCTCAAGATTCACCGATCCATGAACATATATCAGGAAGCTACTTCGTCCAGCTTTACATGCGGAGGCCGAGAAAGTTCGACAAAACAAGAAGAAATGCCACTGCAAATCGCGGACAGGACAGCGCTCCGTGGAGCGGCAGCTTCGATGCGACAGATGCCAACCACATGAGCTGAGACACAGCACGGCGATGGCACGAAACCTACTTCAGGTTACTGTGTCATATGTCACTGAATGAAATGATATACCGTGAAGCCTGAAGAGGATCATCAAACCTTACGAAAGGAGATCAACAACAGAATCTGCTGCTTTTTCATGGCAAGGCACCTGAGCCCTGCAGCCCGAAGTGCTGCTTCCTAGAAGCAGACTATCACATCTTGAGGCCTCTAGGCCTCTGCATTCCAAATCCAACAAAGCCCAGGCCTTAGTGGAATACATCCCGAGGTCCCTGAAACTATCACGGCTTTAAAGCAAGCAAGTGTACGGGACAACAAGGTTGCATTCCTTGCTGCCGCGTTCAACATGATTCTCAGAAGCCCAAGCCTCAGCCTAAGCCTTCAATCAAGAGCGACTGCCAGGGATGCAGGGAGAGCTGAGACTTAGACTTCGAGGCTGAAAGGAGAGGAGTCTCTCTCTTGGGCTACCGCTTTGCCGTTGCTTTCGATTCTCCAATCCAATGATAGCTAGATGCAAGCCGTTGCCTTTCGAAGTGGGACTTGAGCTGCAGTTCCAAACCTGTGCTCAAGCAAGAACTGTGACGTGCCTTTGCCGGGAAGATCTGAGAAGCAGCACTGTGCGTGTCGCAAGTCTGTCAAGCCGCATCAACCCTTGGATTCCTTTCAGAACTCGAGCTGCCTCTTGGAATGTGCTCGCGAAGCAACTCAAGTTGTTGTCTTGCCTTAACTCCACCATGTCTCGCACACGAGATCTATCATGCGTCCAGCATTGCTGGGCGAAGCAAACTCGTTGAATCGTCTCTTCGGACCCTATCGAGCTGGGAAGTGCCAACAAGATTGGAAATTCAGCTGCGAAGCTGTTGCAAGAACCGGTGGTGCAGGACTTCCTTGTGACAGCCTTGGCTGAGGGTATGGGTGGCACTGCGATTCCGATGCTGGTGCCTGTGGTGCCTGGCATACTCAGACTCAGCCTGTGACAGCACCATGGCATCGAGACTCGAGTCAGCGAGCCGCAGCAACTCTGCCCAGACGGACTGGCAAAAAGGAAGCGACCGATGATGCGCTAGCAACAGGTCTGCCGGAGACAGTCATGGCCACACTGTCACGCCTGCCATGAGCGCTTTCCGCTCTCAGTGGACGACTGCCTGCAACGGCCACAGGGCTGGATGGAAGTAAAGCGGAGCACATGACGGTCGCACTCCAGCATCTCGTAGATTCGTGGGATCGGCTGGCGCAGGCGCAGAGCAGCCTCAAAAAACAAAACAACGCCTGCGACGGAGCCGTCATGGTGACGGGTCCCTCCTCCACGTCCTTTCGAAGCTCTTTGAACCACTCCAAAGAGAAGACCTGCAACAGCACTCCTGATGACGTCTGCCCGTGATTTACTCTACCTGCCTCACGAACATCGGGGTGCACATGTGGTCGCCTGGACTGGCAGGATGTGCTCGGGCTGCTCGGATATTCATTACCAAACTCGAGGAAGAATCAGCTTCAGCGGAACCCTCAAGACGACAGTGTCGCGACAATGAAATGCGGAAGGATCGAATCCGTCTCTTTTGGCGCTTGAAGCCAACGTACGCACACATCATACCCAACACTTGTCCGATTATTGTGTCTCGCTTTGGGATCTTCTGTCTCTGAACACGTAGCCTTCTCAGGCGTGCTTGCCTGCCATGATGCCATGACTCTATTCGCCCTATGGTTTGCTCTGTGCCGATGAGCTGCTGAACAAAAGGAAGCGCGAAGAGCGGCATCAGCGTCTCGTCTCCACTCATCTCCGCACACGTCGAGACTTCACTCCAAATCAAACTCGGTGCCCACACGTCCCACCTCATCCAAGCCGCGCTCGTTGAGGAATGCCAGGAAAGGCTTCAGATCCTCGCTCAATGGCTACAGGATGCGTCCACATCGACGCACCGCCAAACCCCAATCTCTCGCCTCGCCATCCATAATCCAACAGTGGGGTGAGGCAATCGAGGCAATCAAAGTGAGTGAATCTTAAGCAGCCCGATCTTTCTCGAAAACAGACGCGTCTTGCAAAGATCAGGAAAGCCTCAGCTGCACAGGTCTCCTCTTGCATCTCCGCGGCATCGGGCTCGCAGCCGTCCTGGTTGGGTCATGTGACATACTGCTCATCCAGCCCAGGCCGTGTCCGCACACTACCTTCCAACAGGCATCTACCCAGTGGCAGCGGCAAACTCAAGATGCGAAGTCGCAATTTGCCCAAGTATCTTCATGCATCCCATTCACGTCTCGTACATCCCGATCACTACAGAAGCTCCTGGAGGGCCAGCCTTGCACGGTGAATGGCGAAATTGGCCTGCAAACTCTCGACAAAAGAACACGCGTCTGATCTCTATGTCGCTCCATCTCGCTCAAGTGGCCTGAAGTCGGAGCTGCAAGGCATTGGCAGCTTCGTGGAACGAGGTCGGCATGATGCGGCTCCATGCCGCACTGCAACGAGAGCTGATTCCCAGATGATCCCACGCAGAGCACAGGAGTCGGGTTGGGAAGAGCGAGTTCTGCATGCTGTGGCACTTGCCCTTGCCTGAAGGCCTCCTGGTCGCCAGCATCGAGGCTGCAAAGGACATCCTGGACCACTTTGGAGAAAGCGACTGGCATGCACACTGCCTCAAGGTTGGTGTTTGCCGCGGAGCTTGAGACCTATCAGAATCCGTACAGCTCACCGTCGTCGGTGTTTCTGACCTGCCGTCCTCTATCTCTCGCATTGCATTCAAAGCGATGTTGGGCGTGCGCAGGAGTCCGACACCTCAGCAGCAACTTTCGGACATCTGAGCCCTAAGATGAAGCCATCCAGCAACAAACTTCACGCTAGCGTCGTATTATCCTCGCTGCCTCGGACGACATTTCTACCCTCGAGAACTTCGACAGCCGGTGGCCGTGGCAGCCAGGGGTGGAATAAATTGGCCGGCGTCAGCGGCCGTAGGCCAGGTGATGCCTGTTGGGGGCCGAAGACTGGCTCCTCATCCGAATCGCCAATGTCCTGTAAGCCCGGCGGTCTGCGAACGAGGGAATCCTCCTGGAGCACATAGGGGCCATAGGGGCGATGCTGTCGTGGCGGCTGATGAAGGGGTCGTCGCCGTCGTCGCGGGCGCCAGTGCGAAGTCGCGAACCTCGACTTGCCACAGCATAAACCACGCCACGAGGATGAAGACGTCGGCCAGGGCGAGAGACTGAAAGAGAGAAAGAGAGAAAGACAAAAAGAGAAAAAGAGATAATGAAAGAAAGAGAGCCAAGCCTTTTTGAGCGCCCGCGCGGGCGACGGTGAATCCAGCCTCGCAACAGAAGCGTGAGACACCAGCCAGGCGGCGAGGACGAACAGGTAGTGAGCCAATGCGCCCGGATGTCGGAGCAAGCAGCGGATAGGAGATGGGGCCATGGGGGCCTTCTGTGCCCGGCCAATTGCCCAGGCACCGTGCGTCGAGACGGGTCTGACCGTCACCCCAAGGCGGTGAAGTCTTCGCCACCCCGGGCTGCGGCGACGAAGGTGGCGATGAAAAGATGCGTCTCGGTCTGGACCGCAGCGTCGGTTGAAAGGGTCGTCCAGACCGTCCGCCACCAGACGGTGGCGGCTGCACCCGACCAAAGACTCCGCAGGTGGCGAAAGGAGTGGGTAGAAATCTTAAGAAGGCCTGAGCTTGTTCCTACAACATGCACCTTTCCATAACGTATTGGGAAACACATGGTTACGTCCGCTACCTGTCCTTGATCTGCTGCTTCCCAGCTCTCCGAAGCTAAGTGGCTGGCGCTCGACATCTCTTTGAAACGCATCTAGGGGCTCCTGCCGGTGCAAGCTTGCCAGATTCGGCAGAAAGGTTAAAAGGGAAGTCTGAGTCGCACGGTTGCGGTCCTGCAGTCGGTGATAGGCAAGATACTCCTGTGCACTCGGCTAGATGACGGCATGTGAGGAGGGAGCTACCACGCCTCGATGGCTTTGATGATCGTCACCTGTGCTTTGCCACTTTGCACTGAAAGAAAACACACCAAAACCAAACGCGCGTTTTGTCGCCCTGCGGCGGCGGCGCCTCTTTGAGCCCCGCCCCGTGGTCCAGCACCGCGCACCAGGGGAGCGGTGCCTGCGCCCAGCGAGAAGCGCCCCCCTGCAGCTGCTTCCACTGCTTCCCTTGCTTCCCTTGCTCTAGTTCCGACGGCCACCCCGCATGCTGCCCGCTCTTGGCGTGAGGGTGCAGAAGACCAAAACAAAGGCGATGGAAACCAGATAAACAGAAGCTGGATAGCAGAACTTGGAGAGCGCTGATTTCCATGCAGGTTTACTGCGCAGCTCAAGCATCTCTGACGGGAAGTGTGCCAATCCCACGGAGGGAGAAGAGAATAGATAACCGGCCGATAGATGTTGCGGCAAGAATTCGTGTGCCTCGGCCGGAGCCTCCCCATGTGCTTCGGACAGCACCTCTGACATTCGCCGAGCTCGCCCCACCTCATCTGATCCAACAGCGCCATCGCCCCATCCAACAGACAAAATCTCAGGCGGACACGCGTCATTCCACAAAGCAGCCGGCAAGGTACCCACACTTGTCCAGTACAAGCGAAGCTGCCTTTAGCCACTTATGTAGCCATGTTGTATGAGTACGTTCATGTTTACATTACACTCGCACCTAAAAATCAAACAGTCCAACAGTCCAACCTCTTCGAGTGCATCGAATGAAGAACGTTGTGCTCGGAGCCATTTCTCTCTCTACACACACAATCTTGTTGCAGGTTGCTTTCATGAAATCCTGCGAGACCGACACACAGCGTGCTGCGAGGTTCCGACTGGCCAGGCCCGCAAAGGAGCTCAGTGGGCCAAACGAAGCCGACATGCGACAAGCGATCAAACCTTTCGGCATAAACCACTCGGTTTCATGCATGGAATGCAGCACCTGGCGCCACAAGCGAAGGAAGCAACGAGACTACTCACGAACGAGGCAGCAGCAGAAGCTTGACCCAAATTCTCCGCAGCTCAACACAAAGCTGCCGACGGCGCATATGATTCTCCGCACCAGTCACGAGTCACTAGTCATGCAACTTGCATCATAACACCTTTCTTTGCCTTCATCCTCTAGTACAGTAACTGTGTCTCCGCTGCCAAGCCCGCTTCAAGCCTAATATTCAAGTCGAGCGAGCTTTACCTCCGGCACGCATCAGTCGAGTGTTTCGCTGAAGCGACGGGTATGTGGGCGTGCTGCCACTCTAGAATTGGGCAGACCATGCAGCTTGGCTTTGCCTTGCTGCAGAAGCGCACCCCTCGCATCAGGATCTTTCGCAGTCGTGAAATGGAAGGCTTGGAAAGCGTTCCGCTTCCGTATAGAATTGAAGGCGATGTCTGCGAAAGCATTGTGTTCTGGTGCAGAGACGGCTTAGATCACAGGAGCCTCTTGGCTTGCCTGCTAAAGCCTTATTCTAATCCCTCTACCTAACTTCAGAAAATCACTGTGCTCCGAGCAGTCCCGGAAGCAGTGATTCCCGCACTTCACGCGAGGCATTCGTCGAATTTCTTGTTCAACTCTTCACGATCCAGATTCTTTCCAATGAAGACCATTTTGCAGCACCTCTCGCCGGGCCGCACGGAGATCATGCTGCAAGAGAGCTGCGGGCACCTCTTCTCGTCTTCCCTCCAAGCTTCTTGAGGTTTGCTGCTGAACCTTCCGTATGAAATACAGGCTGCTGCCGAATGCTCATGCTAGCAGTTGCATGCTTTGCAGCCAGGCACTGCATGTGCACGGCATGGAATACGAACTTCTGCTGCAGCCCCTGCACCGCTAGGACCTGCTCACACGTCGGATAGACGCACTCCTCTGATCTCCTCCACTCTAAGGATGTGGCTCCCTTGGAACGGTACAAGTCGGGACCCTTCTGCTGTATCAGCCAGCCGATGAATTTGTCAAGCCTCGTGTAGGGCATGCAAGGACTTCGAGGTGGATGCAAAGCTAAGTCAAGCAGCTTGTCTTTCACGACTTCCCTGTCCCGCTGAATGCCCACGGAGCTGACCTCGGCAGTTCCAAGAAACCTCTGGAGGCGAGGCAAACCAGATAAACGAGCACTGGCCCTGTAGTCGTGCCGCTGCCGATGGGAGGGATGGTCGCAGGCCTCCCGATTTAGACTGAATTTCTTCCGGTCTGCAAGTAACAGGAGAAGGGGTGCGCACCTCGCCGTTATGCTCGTGCGCATGGTGACCTTATGTTTACGGGCCATCTGGGACATTGCTGAGCTCGGCCAAGCCTCCGGCCGTCATGTCCAGAATGCTCATGGCCGCACCCTCTGCAGCGGTGGGCATGGACCAAGCAAGGCTCATGTGATGCTTGAGTTCCAGGCCTGCACCATGGTCTTCATGGCAGCAGTGATCATCATGATCATGATGCTCATGGCCTCCCCACTTACTTGCTAGCTCAAAACGACCTCATCTCACAGCCAACTCACAGCTTCCAAACTGTGAGGAACAGAACTGCCTTTTTCGTGTTCATGATGCCCATGACCGTGGCCTTCTTCCTGCTGTGCCGCTGTGCAGAGAAGCCGAGACATTCTGAGGTTCCAACAGCACTCGATCTCCAATACACAAATGCAAGTTCCTCCTCCAGAACGCCTTGGCTGACCTGCACAGCTCCAATCTATAGGTTGTCCGCTGCGTTTCGTGCAGTTGAAATCTTTAGACCCCATGTCGTGTCGACCTATATACATACACAAAAACGCACAGTGTTTGTATCTTATCCTTCATTCCTTCGCTCGATTCCGAAAAGCTTGATGACTTCCGCGACCGAATAGTATCAGCACGACCCAGCAACGATGTAGATTGTGTGTCCTCTGATATTCGAAACGGGCGGTTTGGGAAGATTGCTGAAATTGCTTGAAGCTGATAGACAAAAGATGGCACTCCTCCGCCGGACCTCGTTCGGATTCCGCGCGCATATGGCAGAAAGACAGCCCAAGTCAATGCCATCAAAACCAGAAACAAAATCAAAGTACCAAAAACAACAGAAAATGAAGCACAACCACAAGCACAATGTCTGCAACTCTGGCGGGAATTCTGTAATCCAGGACTCTGGACCAAGACTTTCTGAAAATTGTTTTTTGCCGTTAGGCTCTTGCTGTTTGCTTCTTGCAGTCCTTCTTGTTTGGTTGTGGTCTTGTGTTTTATCTTCTTATGTTTGGCTTTTTGGTTGCCATGTTGCTTGTTTTGTCGCTTCTTTGCATTGGTCTTGTTTTCACGACAGCAGCAACACGCAGACAGGTTACAGCCTTTCGCCCTTTAACCAGCCAGGCAATTTTGATCCAAAACAGCATCAACGAAGCAACGATTCGTTCATTCAGTGCATCAGTTCTTTGCAGAAAACATCTTCAATATCGGCAGAATCTGCATCATCTATTGTAGTGCTGGTGAAGAGTTGTAGCAAAGAGGTCGGAGTGAACGCGCTCAACACGCGGTTTTTGTAGGGAACCTTTCCAAAATATGCGTGCGGCATGCTGAACAACCCTCGATGGATGGCAAGGGAGGGAGTTGCAGATCCTTGGGCATTTGCGTCTGCCATGATCCGGGAAATGCCGTAATACCATGATACCTATGCGCGCAAACATGAATCCGACTCGGTTCGCCTGCATGAGGATCCGCTCCAAGGAGAAGGCCTTCGTCTAGTGCAAACAACTGCTGTGCCCTCTCCGGGAAGCAGCCAGCCTCAATGCCAAGAATAAAATCCATGTCGACTTGGGAGTTCTTTGTCCTGCACCGATGCGTCTAAGGGTTCATACAGGCGACACATGACACGCGACACTCCATGGCCACAAGCCGAAGGATGCTTCGACGGGCCGACGGGGCATGGGGCAGCAGGCACAGACAAAGCAGAGCCCATCCAGCTTTGGGGCACCGTGAGGCTCGCGGTATCGTCGCGTTGGAGCACTTCAATACTCAAGAAATTGACTTTACACAAGCTCCACTTTGCACCCCTGCCCACTGGCACTTCCAGTGGTTCCGGCGATCACGTCAGCGATGTGGTCCACTCACTGTCGTAGTACCGATGACGTCGACTGAGAGTCTGGAAAGGACAAACAATCGCATTGAGGATCACGGGCTCGAGGACGTTTGGTGAGAAAGGCCGACACTTCCCTGATACGGTGGTATGGCCCTGAACAGTCACGGAAGAAAGCGCAGCGCATGACGAGGGACCGAGGGCAAATGTTGAGCTTGCCCCTCACTGTTCAGCACGTGTGCTCCCGTTTCGATGATGGCTGCCTACATCAACTGCAAGTCACGCATTCCGAAGAATGATAGAGGGTGGATGTCTTTGAATTCTAGTCTGTGGCCCTGGGTGACCGACGAACCGATACAGTGGACCACATAGTGCTAGAAAAGGAAGCGCCGGGAAGGTATCCCACCAGGCAGCGACGTTAGCTGATCCAGCCACATTGAAGCGGGTCGATTCAACTCTTCCCAACCATCGGCTTGCAGAGGAAGGGCCACACTGTGTTATAGAATGGGGATGCGGAGACGAAGCAGGAAAGTTCAACTGAGTGCCCGATTAAAACCGAAACTGCATATCAAAGACAGATCGCCGACATAGGTGTTGATAGAACAGCGCACACGCACGAAGCCTTGAAGAAGCCGGACGGGAGCACGTGCCCAGAAAAAGCTGCAGACACTGGCCCATAGTTCCATCTGACACACTGATACGTATGGAGCGTGTTTCAGTGGTCGAAGAGTACACACTTCGATTCACGCCCCAGGTTTTCGTGGTGCATGCATGATTGAGGGAGACTTTAAGGGGACAGGATGCTAAAATGTGAGGGTGATGAGCACGCACGCAAGGAGCACACAACGAGTAGAGCGGTACGCTCCCTGTATGCATCTTCTTCCTTGTTTTGATATGCGAATATGGGAGTTCGCTCCTTGCTCAAGGTCAAGAGCTTCGCAGGCAAAGTTGCAGCCGCTGTCTCCCGTCTGTCTGCATTGCATGCAGGAAAGCACACTTCACATTCCCCAACGCACGCTGTATAGTCGGAAACATGCTTCACGTATGTGTTTTGGAGAATCTGTTGTGCTCATCCTTCTGGCCAACGAGCTTTCTAAATTCTAAATAAAGCTCGGAGCCTCGCGACTGGCACTATGACAAGTATCCAACCGAAGTACACACTTGGATTGACCCATGCGGTATGATCGAAATTATACCTGGGTTCAAGCAAGAATCATATTGTCCTCTCCTTTTTTCATCTTTTCGATCTTATCCGACTTGATTTTGATTTTGCACGGCTTGCAGTCAGCACTTTTTCTGATGTTTGCATCATGGTGCAGGTACGTTTGCAGTTTACACGACGAAAGGACAGGTAAATGAGTGCACGTTGTTCGTTGGCCAGCGCACGCACTCATCTTACCTGCCTCTCCGCTAGGGGGCTTGTATTTCTGTGCCCTTGGTGACAGGGTGTCACACACACACACACACACACGTCCACGGTCTTAAGGGCGAATAAGAATGCGCCGATGAATTCGCTGTATCCAGGACAAGAAAAAAGTGTGAATCAGAAGGAGGCGTGGACCCATGTCAGCGATCGGGGTCTGCGGAACGATGCGGAACTGTTCAATTACATTGTCGGAGGTGACCCTGGCAATCGGTTCTGTTCGGTATTTGAGGGTCTACCGAGATATGAGAAGTACCCAAGGACTCCAAAGCATTTGCTGGCCATTGCTGGCACTCTCATCTGAATCAGCTGTCTCACCAGAATATCAAGTCTGTGTCCTGCTGCTGGATGTTTGGAAAGCGTGTGGGCAGTCATAACTTGAGTCATAACCTGTTCGGTATTTGAGGATTGAGAGATTGGCAAGAAGGCCAGGAGAGTTAACGAGCGGAGCCTGCATAACGAACCTGTCTCAGGAACTGGGTTTCGGGAGTCTACCCACACCCCAAAACTTCCCAACCTTCTCTCTTCACGGCAGTCGGACCTTCAGCCACGCACAGGTGGCATAGTTTATGGTTAAGACACTCGATGCGTGCGTACCTGGCACACTACTCATCGACGGAGAGCTTGAGCGGACTTCGCCACTTCAAAAGTTGATGCCCCGAGCGACAGATCATTATCACTTTGGCCCCCGTACTAATCAGTGGATTACTGCTCTGCTAAGCTAAACTCTCTGCGTGACTGGAAGTCCGAAAAACGTAACGGACCTGAAAGATTCTTGTGTCGCTGTCGCTGCTGCTCCAGTTTCATCAAAGCTATGCCGCGAGATCATCGGCTACTGGATGCCAATGGCTATTCTCATGACTATCGTGCCCCCACTGCGGAAGAGATTCGCGGCCATGCCGCACATGGCGAAGCTTGTGTCTAGGCAGCGTCTTGGCTAGCGCGTCACTAACAAGCTCAGCAGCGGCACGACGCCGAATCCTAACCCAACGCCGAAGTGCCGTGTGCAAACCTCGTCCTCGTAGAGGTCCTCTTTTGCCCTGCGACCAGGGCTGCTGCATTATCACATTCCGTGACTTCGCGAATCGTCCCCTGCGCCAAACGTTCCACCAGCCCACTCACATGAATACCACTGCCTCGGCCACTTTCATCAGAAGCTCGTCGTGGCCCTGATGCTGGCCTGGTCTGCCGGGCCCTTCCCCCCTTTCCGGGGCCTGTACTTTGGCGGCGGGCCGTGGGTCTCTTCTGCCTCAGTAGATGAAAGACAATGAAAGACCTGCTCCTGCTCCAGGTCGACTTCCACGTGGCGGCATGGGTTTGGGTGGGGCTCCAAGACCACGTCGCTGTTGGCACCGCGCGCCTCCATGAGCTTCTGCTGGTCAAAGTCGGGTGTCTCGACCACCGACCAGCTTGCCGAAGCCGAAGCCACAGCCAGGTCCTGAAGCGTCTAGAAACGCCAGCCTCAGAAGGTGCCGAGCTCGAGCCGGTTACCGGCACAAGCGCTAGGGCTCGAAGCGAGTCCATGGGCCCGCGTCGTCCCGGCGTGCTTTCTTTCCCTGCGACTGCCTTCGCTGCTTCTTTGGCCCGGTCCACGTCAGCAAACAAAACAAGGAAGCCGGAGGTGCCACGCCATCCAAGGATGTTGGGTGTCTTGGGGCCGGTTCTCGAGGTGGATCCAGAGAAGCAGGAGGCGGTAACTCGACCAAAGTCACTAGACTTGTCTCGGCTTCGGGGCTCCATGCTTTCCTCCTCCTTTGGCCCCTTCTCTTTTGAGGCCGCCGTTGACGATGAAGACGACCCACCACTGCCCTTCTTTGAAGAAGGGCCCTCAGATGATCCGCGCGGGCACTTGCTGTCTCCCTGCCAGTGGCCTCGTTGTCCGCACTGGCGGCACGTAGTCCGAGTTTTCAAGGCTGAAACCCGAGCCTTTCTTTCCTCGATCGACAGCTCGCCCTTCACCTGATCGGAGCCAAAACCGGCATGTCCTCGCTGACTGGCACGTCAGCTGCCAGGTCTGCTGACTCGTGGTGCAAGAACCGGATCACTCATCATCGCCGGCGGCATAGCGGTCCGAGAAGCCACTCGCCATGTCGCCAACCTCCTGCTCATAGCCTCCGGGGTGTGGCTCGCCATGTCCCATCTTCGTAAGCATTTGTGAGGACCTGCTCTGCAAGGATAACCGCCGAGAGCTTTATCTCTGATCCAAGTGCTGAAGAATTGCCCACCAGGCCCATCTCCTCAGTTTTTAAGCAGCCATGAGTTTGCCGCATTGGCGGCTCAGCGGGCCGCTCTCCATTGACGCCTGCAAGGCGGAGTTCTCGTGCTTCCTGTTGGCGCCGAGGACGAAGCGCCTGCGTGAGATCCTCAATCAGCTGCGAGGGGCCCTGCACGTCCTCGTCGAGGGTCTTGGCTACGCGCAGAGCCTTTTGCTTTCGTTTGAGCCATCAAGGTCAGGCGCGGCCTGCAGTTCCAGCTGAATCTGTGATCCAAGCTAGTCTACTTCAGAGCTCATCTTCACAGCACAAACCCCAGTCTGAGTCGTTGACTTTGTACGTTACATCACAGCAGAGCGCCGCGGGATGTGTTGCTGTGACAAGACCGACCCAGGACGGAGCGATTTGCCTTGAAGAAAGCAGAGCAAAAAACGGCGAGACCAGGACGCACACGCGCTGGCTGCCGAACCATCCAGTCGAAGCTCTTCGAGAACTTCGAGAGGTGTCGGTGGGGCCTTCGAGGTATTCGAGCCAAGCGCCCAAGGCCGGCTCGGACACATGCGTTCTTGCCTGACCTTGCCTCCTGCTTGTCGCCAGGTGCGTGCGCTTTGCGCGGACCACATCTGGCAGGGCAGGCCAGTTATCGGGGCTTTCGCCCGAGTGTACTAGCGAGCGGGAGTGGCGTATCCACAGCCAAAGCTCGACACTGACTGCGGCCACGGGCCTCCCGTGCACCAGCCGGGGATGCTCTTGCGCGTTCTCATGACCTTCGTGCTGCCTGTCCGTGAAGGTGTGTCTCCAAGAGACGCGGCAGTTCTCATGAGCCACGCAATATGCATAGATGACGCGGCTTTGAGGGTCTCCACGGCCGACCAGCCAACCTCGAAGTTCGCGTCAAGGGCAGCACGCGACACTTCCACTGACCCGCAGCCATTGGCAAAGGTCGGATCACGACCGGATCACGAGCAAAACAGTAAGAAAACACTCTGTCAAGCCAAGAGCTGGGGAAGCTAAGGAGTGCATCAAACTCCGATCAAATTCCATGACATGGCTGCCGTGGACTACTCGAAACGGGGCGACTTACAGCACGATGCCCGAGCCTTCGTGAAGCTCAAGGCTGGCAGCGAAAGCAAGAGGCAGCCGGAAGTAAAACCACCTGACAGGAATGCAGCGACGCGGTCGAGCCCCGAGGGTTCAGGTTTACAGTGAAGGGAGGGTGTCGGGCGTTTAGGGTTCAAGGCTCAAGCAGAACAGCGAAAGAACCCTCGGGAACCCAGAAAGCCTTCAGTCATCCGTTCTTTCACGTCACGACACCGGCCTACTCTGACACCTCGAAAGAACACGGCCCCGCAACCGCTTCGATTAGCCTCAGGGTTCCATTTTTGATGGCATGAAGGCAGATGAAACAGGGACCCTGCTCTTGTGAAGGGTCCGATCATCCATTGTTCCCGAGTAGATAAAGGTCTTGAGTCAGCCTTTCTTTCACGTCAAGATACCGGCCTACTCTGACACCCCGAAAGAACGCGGCCCCGCAACCTTTTCGATTTAACTTCAGGGCTCCATCTTTGATGGCATGAGAGCTGATGAAACAGGGACCCAATCTCTTGAAGGCTCCGATCATCCATTGTTCCCGAGTAAATAAATGCCACTGACTCTGAAACCGCTGCATGCGGGCTGCAGGCGTCCGGCTTCAGCAGGAGGAAGCCTCTCGATAAGGGGCAAATTGAAGGCCGTGAACAGAGCACTTGATAGCATTCCGCGTTTCGAAGCACAGGCACGAAACAGCGACTCCAGAGAATTTCCAGCACGCACAACGACGCAAAACTCTGTGTCTGTACAGTCGTCACGCAAAAGGGCGGGCACCGTTCGCAACGGCATGCTTGGCAAATGGCAGGCATAGCAACCTGCACCGTCCAGCACGCAAAATGATGCAAGACTCTGTGTCTGTACAGTCGACGGCGAGCAATGGCAAAGTGGAATCTCTCGGGCAGAATCAAGGTCAAGCAAAAGGGCGGGCACCGTCTGCAACGGCATGCTCGGCAAATGGTAGGCAGTACAAGACAGGAATCACAATGCCACTTGCAATGAAACCACGCCCTTGTCTCGCTCTAGCTTCACGAGCAGCTAATGTATGTATTGCTATAATAATAGACGTGGCTCCTAGCATGCGAGCGGGGGATGCATGTGGGATGACCCCAAAACTGAGCCATACAAAGCCAATCCTACTTGGACTGAAATTCGTGTTACAAAAGCCCGTGGGCCCGTGGAAGCATTGATGATCACTGGCAACGTCGGAAGTGCTAGCCACGCTGCAGCCACAGGCCCCGGCCTGCGAATGACGTATGCATTGGCAAATCATTCCCTTCAGTGTCCCAAGCTCGCCACAGCCGTCCCGGCAAGCCGAGCAGATCCCACAGTTGCGAGGGCGTCAGCAGATGTGACGATGAAGCCTGCAAGCTGCACGTGTAGCGCGTGCGATTATGGCCTCGCAAGGGACCATACACATGCCCATCCTGACGACCAGCACGCGGCTGCATCACCAGAGGCGTCGAAGGCCGGCCGTCACGTGCAGCGTGCATGTCAACCGGTGCCGCATGCCGACTGCTATCATCAAGGGCTGTTGCTTGGCCAGCCTGCGAGCCGCGGCCAGAAGTCTGCAGAAGCTGAGGCGGCAAGCGTTGACTGCTGCCATGACCCGCCGTTACTTCCCAGGGCTAGTGCTGGATGTGCTGGATTGCAACGGTCATGAACAGCATTCGTGGACGTGAAGTGCGGATGGCGAGTGTTGACATGATCGCTTCCATCTTCAAAGTCCTTCCTCCCTTCGCGCAAGGCGCCTGACGGGAAGCCGAAAGGACTTGGCCACGTCGGGGCTACGCTGGATGCATGGTGCCATGTATTTGATTCTTGTGTGCCTGCGTCGCTGTCGCCTGCATCTTGACTTCCTGTCGTCCCCGTGGCTTGAAAACATCATCATCGCTGTCCTCAACGTAGCCGTCTCGACTGGATGAGGGGTCGGCACGCTTTCAAGATCCTCGTCGGAAAATGATGCCGCCATGCATTCAAGGCCAAGACGTACTGCACAAAGCCGGAGCCGAAAATGCTCTGTGCAACAAGAACACTCAACCGCTGAAGCCATGTAGACAGGGGATGCTGGCAGTAGTTGTGCATACTGCGACTGATGCGTTCTCTTCGTATGAACAAGTGCCTGGCCGGCCTGACTGACGGTCGACCGGAAGTCGCGCTAGCCGCAGCAGCCCAGGCGGAAGTCCGGCAGCAAAGCAAGGCATGTGCATCGTGCATGGGGAGCAATTTGGGGTTTAGAACATAAGTTGGGGCTTTCAGGTTAACGGTGGCTGGACTAGCCGGAACTTCGTTAATCCAAAGTCCTTCCGAGTAATGCCAAACCCAATGGCTTGGACCAGCGGCATGCCATGTCCATGAGTGCGGCAGGTATGCTGCAAAGTGTTTGCTGTATATGGCTTGCATTTTCGTGCTCTGTGTTTTTGCTGAATCGGTGCTCTCCTGCCTTTGACGTTCGTACCTGGTTGTTTTCGATATTGTGTCCTTAAGATTCTGACTTTCAGCCGTGTGCTTGCTGACTGTATTTGCCTACTTCGGCACGGGTTTGCTGAATGACGCTTCTCTCGAACCGAAATAATCATACTAGTTACTGAGTATTGCCTGAAACCTTTTCGCACCTACATAACCGAAAGCACACAAACCGAAATAAACACGTTAAGTGTTGCCTACATGCCTTTCGCACTTACATGACAGAAAGCCTACAAACCGGAATAATCATGCTAAGTCAAACTGAAATAATCATGTTAAGTATTGCCTTACCTACATGACCGAAAGCATACGAAATTAATTAAGAATGCTAAGTATTGCCTGTAAGCCTTTCGTGCCTGCATGACCGACATAAGCATTGCCTACATGCCTTTCGTCCCTACATGACCCAAAGCATACCTCATTCGTGCAAGGGCGCAAAGAGAAGGGACGAATCACAACATATCACAACCACCATAGTCCAGCTTTGGTACTGAAATCTCATGTGTGTACCATGGGCTTTCTGTAGAGCACGTCTAAATTTATAAAGGCACCACAGTAGCCAGTTGTAGTTTCTCCCGTTTGGGCCAGCCCATAATAGTGGTTCCGTTGTGTTTTCCACCATGTGGTTGTATTTTCTTCCGTTTGGCCGTATTTGGACCCGGTCGCAGGGGTGGCACGGCGGCGGTAGAAAAGATTGCGTGGCTGTGGGCACGGGTAGGACGGGCAAGCACACTCCGTTAAGGACAGCAGTTTTCGGAAGCAGCAGAATCTTGTTCTCGAGCCACTCCTTTCTGAACGAGACCGGGATTGCAAAAACTGTCCTCTTCATCGCCGCTGTCTTGTTGATTCTTCGTACTTCTCGCTGGACCTCGTCGAGCTCGGCATCACTCACGAGGTCTGTCCTGGCATCGAAGAAGATATTGCGCAGCTCCATGTCGTTGACAGCACCGTGCCCGAGGCCAGCGCTTGTTTAGCAGAATCCGGTCTGCAAAGGCGATCTTAGCAGACACAGGTCGAAGGCTCCGAAGCGAGCGGACAGGAGTCAGGCCTGCTCCACGGCCTCGTTCACCGCCCCTTCTGGCTTGTCCTGTGCCGGGCCGAGCAGTGTTACGGCTATGGAGCTGTCCAGCGCCATGGCATTGGTGGTTGCTCCTCCTGCAACTGTCCGATGATGTGCTTGCTGTCTACGACCGTCAGGATGCCGTCGAGCACCATATTGGCACTCACCTCTTCCGCCGTCCCGGCCCACTCTCGCTCACGGGCATGGTTTTGCTGGGGCAGGAGCGAAATCATCAGCAAAGAAGGTCTGTGCCACGGGAGCTGGATCTGCAAGGCCCGTGGTCTCAATGATGATCCCATCCAAAGGCTTGCCCTGACACGGCTCGCAAGCGCACAGGCGTGCGGTGACAAAAGACTTACGCTCAGCCTTGCCAGTGGTTTGCTTGTGGAGCTTCTTGAGCCCTGCAATCAAATCCCCCCGGACGGTGCAGCAAATGCAGCCATTGTTCATCTCAATGACGTTCTCCTGGCCGGGTACGATTCAACAATATCGTCTGTCAGCTTACTGCTGGGGACTCCTCGGTCACTGCGCTCTTGGTGTTCAACAGCGCATCATCTATCCCTACCTCGCAAAGAAACTCGGAAGTTCATGCCAACCACATGCCCAAGCGCCCAACCGTTCCGGTAAGAACGGCAATGACACCGCACCTCGCCGAACTCGTTTTCTATGATTGCAATCTTCTTTCCGTGGTTCTGCTCCAGAATGTAATTCAGGAGGGTTGTCCTCGGGATTTGCAACAAGTCGATCACAGCCCCGAACGACACGAGCGAACCCTGCAAGTCTGCGCACCCACCAGGACAGCTAAGAACCGCGCTTGCCTGCACCGAGAAAGCCGGTGATGATGCTTGTGGGAGTCCTTGTTCAAACAAGTTGGATCAAGTTGGCCCTGTGCGAGGTGCTAAAGCAGATGTGAACATCATCGCGACGCAAGAGGCGAAGACTGGCTGGTCATTTACCATCCCGAAGCTACACATGGTTTACTCATAGGTACACTCGTGGTAGAACTAGTGATAACTAGTGGATCAAGCTCGGAGAGGCATGCTTCCGTTGCGGGTGCGGTTGCAGTGCAAGCGCTTTCCTTCTCTTCCCGATACTCCCACAGCAGCCGTCTGGCACTTTTGGTGACTGTTCTCCGGATTGTAGCTTCGGGCTCAAGGATCTAGAAAGCACTGCAGGAAGCTTGGACTCTGGCTTGGTGGCGGCTCCAAGACCCGTGTCCCCAGCAAGTCGCCCTACAAGCACCGGACGCAACATTTGCAAAAGCGAGCAGCAAAGATTCCCCCTCCCCCGCACCCTCCAGATCAGTCTTCTTCCTGGCCAGAGCTTCGTCTTCCGGCCGAAGCAGCCTTGCAACAGTTTTTGGCGGGAAGACTATGACCAGACTAACAGCAGCAGCATGCCGCACATGATTCTGTCGGGGCGCAAAGCAGCGCTTACATCCACCACTGCACGTTTGAGCGCACCGAGGCCAACCAGCAAGTCCTTCAAAGCGAAGTCTGCACAAAGCGTCAAAGAAGCGCAACTTCTTAAAACGGAGCAAGAGAGAGCAGAGCCCAGAGCGCTTGCCCGAGCCGCGCACGGTGCGGACGGTGAAGAAGTCGGCCAGCTCGTTCTTCTTCGCAGCCGTCAAGGTTGTCATCACCTCTGAAACCAACAGACGGGTGCCGAGTAGGCCTGATTCCAGGAGCCAGGCCCGGTTGAGGAAGACTTCCTGCAGCAGGATTCGAAGATTTCGAAGTCGAAGCAACCAAGAGCGAGGCATAGCGAGCACGTAAGCCAGCTGCTGGAGTCCGAAGGATTTCTGTGCCGTCTGCTTCGGTCGAAGCCTGAACTCAGCTTTTCGACGAGTCCATGTCAGATAATCTCGTCTGAGGTCACAGGCCGGAGCTGCTGAATAGCCTCCTTTGGTGCCACGAAGAGCTTGTCCTTGAGCCTCCAGCCAAGGGTTCGACGACACACGATGGGCACTCCGAAGAAAACGGCTCACCGCCTCAAGGGCCGTGTTCACAAGCTGGACACCATCGAAAAAGCGCTCCTCTTGCAAAGCAGCCCGCGCATTCCTTGAGTGGGAAACCAGAGTGGGACCGATAGAAAATCCCTAGCACAGCATAAAAATTGCTCCCATTAATCGCAGCCGGCACTCTGCAGCGCTTCCGCGGAGTGGGACATGGATGTTGAAGGAATGCCACAAGGTCAAGCCGTTTAAAAAGCCCCGGACCTCAAGGCCTTCAGACTGACATCATCATCAATGATGAGATCTGAGTTGCATCCACACGAGCATACGAAGTCGATGTGGCTGAAAAGGCTCGAAGCAAAGTGCTGCACAGCAACCGCACGTTCACACTGCATAGGGAGTGAAGCCCAGAATGGTTTAAGGCCATGTCGGAAGCAGCTACAGCAGCTACAAGTAGTGTTCGTGCTGGTGATGGTTAGTTGGCAGTGCCAGGAGCTGAACCAGCACAGATTGGACTACACACCGAAGTGTCGCAGGACTCGAACTTGGTCTGCTTCTGAGTTTCACTGCTTCTTCTCAACACCCAGAGCATCTTGCTCCAGGTATGAGGACTGTGCCTCTGAACATACTAGCATGCTTGTCCTGCCGTCTCTTGGAGACGTGACGGTGCGCATTTACCCAACGCTTGCCATAGCCGCCTCAAGCAGCAGGCTTTTTCTTTGCAACTTTCGGCGCAATGGAACTTTTCTTCTTCAATGGCTTCCTGTCAGTTGCTTTGCGGAAAACGAACCATGCACGAGCACACACACACACACACACAAGTGTAACCACGCCTGTTGCTTGCCTTCGCACTCGAAGCACCCTGCCGAAGTCACGAGTGGCATTTCTGGATGCATCGTGTAAGTTGCACAGCTGAATCACCCAAGCTGGCTGCCGCCTCGAGTTCCTCTTGTGCAGGCTGCGACGGCGTTGTCCTCGCAGATGGAGGCATGGCATGGCATGGCCCCTGCCTTCCGTTGCAAATTCCCCTCCTTGGATCCTCCTCCTGCACGGCCTCCCACAAAACAACGACGCGATGGCGGCAAAGCTATTCAAAGAGAAAGGCAGGCCTCGTCAAGAACCTGGGACTCCTGAGTTCGCTGTTCAATCCCTTAACTCAGCCAAAAATAAGAGAAACCGGGCAGCAAAGGGCAGGTACCTGCTCCGCCCATGCCGAGTTGATGGATGGACTTCCCACAATCGACTTCATCCTGTCACAGACACAGCATTGATGTAAAAGCACCAGCACGCCTTCTGCAACCGAGCAACGATGGATCTGCGAAAGGGCCACCACCGGCGCCGGCTGTTTCAGCAGGCCTTCATGCTAGGCTGGCAAGTCGCTGCAAGTTTTTGAGGCTTGCCAGCTCGCGGTCTGGCAGCAAAGAAAGACCCGGATGAACGAAGTCGCACCGAGAAATTTGGTCGACGAAATGCACGGCACTTGTGCCCGACTCGAACCCCAACGATGGTGAATGGAGGAAACCACTCCCGGTCAACTCGGCTCGCTCCACCAGCGAGTGCTGACATGCAGCTGCAAGCATGAGCCCCAGTGAATATGCGTGTTGGACCTAGTGTTGGACAGACGGTGAATGCCGAGGCTGCGGCACATGAGAGAGGTCCCGCTCGAGCTGCAAGAAAACAAGCTTGGTCAGCCACCCCAAATTCCTGGGGCTGGAACAGAAGTGTACCCAACAACATGTAACACGATTCAACACATACTCGGAGGATGGAAATTAGTTTGGCTTTCAATAAAAGTTGCCGGTTCACGCCGCGCATGCGCCAAAGACCGGGTGAACTCACTGTGGACGAATGATGATCCAGTGAAGACTGTGAACTTGCTTGGCAACAGCACAACATGCTCCGCCAGAAAACCCTGCAGCTTCCCTGATGGGTCATGAACTGGACGTCTGGTACTTCTCGGCATCTAAGTTGTCTCCCTGCAGGCCCGAACCCAATCCAACCGCAAGGACAAACAAAGCCCTCCAAGCATCGCCCGGCCCGCGTTCGGAGCATGCCAAATGTGAGTCATTTCCGCCGGATCCAAACAACACAGAAGACTACAGCCGACCAAATGCTGACCTCCAGACCAACACTCCGAATCCATTGAGTGGTGAAGCCGCATCAACCGCTGCCGCCAGAAATCCCAGAAGTGGAGGCCCTGCCGAAATGTCAGCATGCCGGTGATGCGACTTCAACTTTGATCGAAGTTTCGTCGAAACTTCGACCAAACTTCGACCCGCCAAGGGTCGATAGCGTCATCTCCACCACGGGCACCAGGATAAAAAAATCTTGTTGAATGCCCTCACCTGTCGAACATTATGTGACTGAGTGTCTCTGAAACCGTGCGAAGGCACGCTGACTAATGCACACAACTCCTCAAGAACGTGCAAGGTTCTTCCAGAGTTGCCAGAGCAATGCTGCATGGTCCACAGCAAATGCGTAGTGTCTGTGCACGCAAGCAAACGTGCCTACAACACCGCTGAAACCCGGCTCCTCAAGCCTGCGCGCAGCTGCTCTGCAAAGGCCTGACCTATCCCTTCCTGTTGCGTCTCCTGGCTCTGAAATTTGACCTGCCTGAGTGCGAGACTCAGTGCTGCTCCAGCCCCGCGAAGGCGTGTGAGAGCCGTCTGTTGCCGTGGAGCCGAGTCTGTTCCAAAAATCAGGATCTAAGTCCCGCACCTGGGTCATGGACATGGCCTCTTCTGCTGTACAGGAGAGGCCTTGCACGAAGCACGGCCGCTGGCAGGCACGTCGAGGCAATGTGGGGGCACGGCACGGTGGCACTGTTGGTTCAGACAGGTAGGCTGGCAAGCCTCGGTTAACAAAGCTTGCACTCATCAGCACCGCCTCGTCTCAAGGACAGCCACATCTTCGGACCACGTCACATCGCTCCCGCATTGCTCGCAGTGTGGCGTGAAATGACGAGGAATGTGAGCACCTGCCACAGCATGTGAGCCAGCTGGCTCCTTTGGCTTTGACCATGGAGTGTGAGGGGCAGATCTTGGGGGTATTCGGCTCGGTTTTGACTGGGTGGGATGGCAAGCAACCCCACCAACGTGAGGCGGTCCTTGGAGTATGTGCAGATACAAATTGCACGTGTTAGCCGAGGGGGTTGTCAGGGAGCACCGAACGTCGATCCATCTGCCAGCATGCTCATGAGGATGATCCTGATATGCAGGGGATTCTATGCATCATTACTTTCTTGTAATGGCAGCATGTGCACAGGACCTTCCGTCTTCCTTCCAAACAGTACAACTAGTGCAATATATAATATACCTGTATTTTTGTTGGGGTGCGGAGTCGTATAATATTTTGCTGCCTTTGCAGCCCTGTGCCACGATCCTTCTGATGACTCCCAGCCCGCCTCGCTGCAGACACAGACTCGATCACAGAGCTGGCCTTTCCAAAAACGGGTTCGGTGTCGTCTGAATGCCAACTAGGCATAGCACGGAGCCTCTGTTAGCATGTCACCACAGCTTGCCAGCATCCTTGCCAACGGCCCGTCCTGCCAGTTTACTACGCCACTGGACCTTTCTCAATTTTGATCACAAAGCTGCAACGCCTGCACGTGGCCGTGTCAACTTCATCTAGATCCAACACACGACCAGAACCGAGATGCACAGCAACATCTTGGTATCTTGTGGAAGCATAAACCAAAGTAACTAAAGTGTACAATAAACTAAGAAATATGTCGTTGCAAATGTCAGTGGATCCTTCCACATCCACGATCGCTTGCTCCTTTGTGCCTGGACATGACAAAGACATCCTTGCCGCAAGCATGTTTGCTTGCATTCGCTGTGCAAGCATCAGTTTACAACAGTTGTACCCAGCCTGAAGCGCCATCAGCTGCGAGCTCAGGTGCGTGGTGCCCGTGCAAACCCGCATTAGCTCAACTGCGTACCAAGGCAGAGGCGGATGGTGCGCCTGAGGGTCCACCGGAACAGCAAAAGCAAGAACAGCGCAAGATCGGTCTTGAGAGGTCCTTCCAAGGCTTTCCCATGGCTGCAGCACCACTGGCAGCTTCTGCCAGCCGCACGGACCATCGCTGCCTCGCGTGGTGTGAGAGAAGCATCCCAGCACTTTTCATGTTGGTGAGGCCTCACGTGGTCCGGGAGGCGCAGTGCCGGATCTTGCGCCAGCGAATCCTCGACTACAAAGTTCAGGACCTGGGACATCCGAGCTGAACTGAAACACGGGCGACCCATGCACGCACTAAGAACTCTCACACCACCCGAAGTGCACTTGCGCACAGCACTCTCGTCTCTGCTGACTGACATGAGGGCAGGGCTCTACCAGATCTAGCCTTAACCTCACAGATCAAGAACGCAAGCTCCACAAATTTTAAGCCAGTGCTGCTCTGAGAGACTGCTGCCCCTGCCTTGCTCTTGGTCACCGGCTCGGACTTGAATGTCGAGCTGATGGGGCGAGTCGCCTACGAAGCAACGCCAGGCTCGCTGACAAGGCAAGGTCTTTTGGGGCCTCTGCTTGCCCTGCTTGCCGCGCATTCTCAGGTGGCCCTGGCTGAAAAAACCGCACAAGACTTCCAACCACTGCGGCGCTTGAAAAGCCGAAGAGAAGTGCCTGCTGAGCCGTCTTGTTTTGGCCTTGCAAACGGTAGAGACTTGTCTTTTGTCTGCGACTCGATTCCAATCCTGGGCTCAGACTCATCACCCTTTTCGTCTTCCGTCACCACTTCCCTGCTCAAGTGTCGAAAAGAGGGCGATACGCAATATCCTCGACGCAGGGCACCTGCTAGCTGCCTTGCCCCCACTCGCCAATGCCATTGCATGTCATTGCAACGGCTTTGACATCGAGAAGACTGCCCCCTGTCAACTGCGTATCTGCGATGTTGCGACATGTTGTGCCCCAACGACCGAGTAGAACAACATCACAATCTGTGAACACTGAATTCCCGATGGCCTGAATACGAGGCTGCATAACTCTGAATTCAGGCTGCTGGCGTGGCACTGCACGGTTTTTTAACAGCATCCAGAGGACTCTGAAATACATTAACAATCCGCCCTCACATTGGAGGGGCCTAGGAATGCCTGACCTTTCGGCATGGAGGAAGGAACTCTGCACCATTCCGTCACCTGTTTCAGGAGCCGGTGCGAAACTGCGAAACCGAAGGAGCAGGCATATATGTGTAGCGAAGGTGAGATCAGGTGAGCTTCTTCTGACCGCCAGTGCCACAACCTCATGTTGAGCTCAGCGGACAGCTCTTTATGCAAGTTCGCTTCACAGCTGCAGGCAAGCATTTCGAACGACCCTAGTTGAAGAGGAGATCCCTTGTACTTTGGCTGCATAGGCTCCAGCGAAGCGGTCACAAGATCCCACCAAGGCACAGCTCTTCTTCCACGGGGTTTAGGGAGTCAAGCTCCCCGGCCACACGAGCCCCTAGTGTTTGTAGGTTTGTAGGGCAGGGCAAGGCAGGGCAGGGCAGGGCAGTAGGGCATGTGGCACAGCGCTCTCTCTCTCTCTCTCTCTCTCCGAAGTGCATTGCCATGAGGCAACAACGGAGCAGGCAGTAGCTCAGTAGCTTCTGTGTGTCACATCGCAGCTTCCTGGCGGAATGCAGGCCGGCAGCTACAGCACCGACTAATGAGATGAATGTAGACTGCGAGCCTCGCGGGCACATGAGTCGGAGGAGCTCCTCTCACCGATCGATCAGGACCACAGACCGAAGACTCGAAGCTTTGCTTACACATTCACAGGAGTGGCCGGTTGCATCAACTAGAAGCCCTGGTTCCACACTGCCAACAATTAGGACAGACGAAGCGAACAGGATAGCACCGTGCTCCTGCTGGGTGCCTCGGACACATCGAACCTCAGAAACTACTGTCGAGGGGGCATCCTCCACAGCACAGTACCTCGAATTGCGGCTTCGTGACTCTGGCACCGAGCCCTCATCACGCTCATCGCTTTGTTGGCGATCATGCCCACGACCAGTACTGCGGCCTACAGACGACAGGAAAACAGTGAGTGAATTGTGCCGGCGCCCCGCACTGGGTCCGTGAGGGTCCCTGGGGTGCAGTTTGGCAGCTGACAAGAGACAGCAAAGCATCGTCCAAGGACTGCGGCTGGACATCTTCAAAGTCCTGCCGTCTGACGCGCAGTGTCCAAAAAGTCCCTGCTCAGCTGCAGTCCTGCGAAGCGGAGTCTGGCGAAAACTCCTCGGATTCCTGACGCGGCATTCAGGATTTTGCTGCCTTGTAACGTCGCATGTAGGGAAACCGATTTGCAAGGGGACTTCCCTCCGCAGCTTGCATTTTCGCAGACGGCCGAGAATCTGCCGCTTGTTCGTGAACTTGGCGGGGATGCCCTGGCAGACTCCGCACGGTCGACGTCTTCGCCGATGCAAAATGTCCAAGTCAGGAGGAACATGTCTTTTTACGTGCTAATTCGTCGCACTAGACCACAAACCCATTGATTGACCCAGCTGCGCCTTGCGAGATCCCAGCGGGTGGTGCCTTAAACTCAAGCGATTGAAAAGTCATCCCGGTCTTCATGCTGTCAGTGCGTGAGGCCGAGCAGTGGAAACAGACAAGTCGAGCACCCTAACTGAGTGAACAGCCGGAAAGCTCCACCTTAGCCTTTGCCTATGCCGAACATGGGCAGACAAGTTCTCTGCTTCGTGAAAATGCGTACGAACAAGAGCTCGGTTCTTTTCCAGTACCCGCGGAGTGGTGTGGTCCGAAGCGGTCGCAACCAACCAGCTCAAGCCTCCAAACGGCGAAATGGTCGGTCCGCAGAACTTCTTCCGGGCGGGTGTGGAGGGAAAGCTGAAAAACTCGAGGTGCAACGGTTTCAACAGCTGCTTCTCTGTTCGCTTCCTGGACAAAGACAATGCCCACATATGGCGTGTTGGTCGAAACCGGACGTCTTCATACGGCTCAATGGTGGCTAGGGACGCAAATACTGAACACAGGCACTGAAATTTTGCCTGTAGGGGTCCTCGGCTTGGCCCCAGCCATCCAACATGTCCAAATATCTGCATTTCCAACGACGATCTAACAACAGCAAGGATCAACCATGCACAGCAAACTCCAGTATGTCACAAGCAATCCGTGCAGGAACGTGACGAAGGCATCCCTTTTTCATATCACAGCAAATCTGGACGGTCTTTGTTACGCTGTGCAATCCAGAAATGTTCGCTGCCCCCTGCTGTTGCAATTGCAAAGGGAGAAGACCCTTGGAAACAGGGTTTGCACACACACAGACAGACTCCTGGCACACACTTGACTCTTACGCGGCATCTAACAGCAGGAGGAGCGAGAGCACACACTGGCAAGGACGGGAGGAGGTGCGCAACACTGACAAGACCAACTGCTGCAGGCTACTGTAACTAGTGCAAGCTAACCGGCTCCTGTGGGACACTCGGAACTCGGCTAATGTTTCCACCTGCACGTTTTCGGAGCCCTCGCTGAGCACCTTTAGTGCCATGAAGGCCTTGACATGGCGGGGCCGAGGCTCTAACCTGAAAGCTGAAAAACTCGAGGTGGAACGGCTCCAGCAGCTGCTTTTCTGTTTGCTTTCCCAACTGGTATAGCGAACACAAAACAAACTTTCACACGCCTAACTTGTCAGTGAGTGCACACGTGCACTGCCCGCCAAAACGAGCTGCCAGACTCAGCTAGATTCTAGATGCTGTCAAGATACCGCAGCACGGTCCGCTTCGTCTGGCATCGGATGGCCCTGCAGAAGGCTCCCCACGTCGGCTCACACCACAACTTCGCGCCAGGTGTCACAAAGCCATACCGAACGAGCCTCTGGAGCTTCTGGGCTCACGCTTGGGGCTCCGCCACCAAAATCTCCTTCACGGGCACGGCCTGCTGAAGCGAATGCAGCAAGACAGAACTCGACTATCTCACACTGGGCCGCAATCAGGGCCTCCACCTGCGGCACCGTCTCCACCCAAGGACTGTAACACGTGTCCGATGTCGGACTCGCATCCACCACTTCTGCCAGCAGCACCATCGCCGCCTGATGGACCGAGGTGCCCTGATGGTCCCGGTCGGCGACGAGACGGAGCGGACGGAGCGGACGGAGCGGAGAGATGCATGTCCGTCTCGCGAGTCTCGCGTTCTCCAGCCAATCCCGCTGCCCCATCCCCCGCCGTTCGCTCCGAGCTCCGCTCGCTGCGCTCGCTGCGCTCGCGGGCGCTCGGCCCGGGCCCCGGCCAGGACGGCCAGGACGGAAAGGACTCGGCCCCTGCAGCGCCATCCCCGGGCCCGGCTTGCCCCTCGAAGCCGAAGGCTTCCCCGCTGCCTGCGTCACCGTCGCCTCCGACTCCCACCGCATCCTCTCCGCGGCCGGAGGGCCCGAAAAACCCGGGTTGAGGGGTGGGGCCGGATGGGCCAGCGCTCGTCTCCGGGCCGGACGGGCCGGAGCCGGACGGGCCGGATGCAGAAGACCGAGACATGCTCGGCCCACCACCATCCTCTGCACCGCGTGCGTCACGACCGCGTGAACCTGAAGTTGCCGCCACTCGCCTGAAGCGAAAACATCAGCACCAAGCGATTCTGTCTTCACCTTGTGCACCCCGCCTCATAGACTGATGCCCTCCAGCCGCCTCTGAAAGGGTTGTCTCTCGCAACGCGCCGGACAGCACCCGCCACAGCACGAGCATCGCCAGCAAGCATGGGCTCAACAGACACATCCCCAAAGAGTCTGTCGACCAAAAATCTCCATTTCGGGTTCAGGGATGTCTGGCGCTTGCTTACCAAACATCTCCTTCTCTGGTGTCTGTTTCTGGGTTTAACCGCCCAGCCCTTACATCTAAAGTGTGCTGCTGTGATATGTCGCGACAAGGCCTCCTCGCCGGCATTGCTGGTTGCCTGGTAGCATTGACATCTCGGACAGCTGCTGAAGAAGACTGTGCTTATGCTTTGCTGCCGGTTTGCCTCGCCCTGCTCGTGTGCATCAGCGACAAAAGTCCTGCCTGGCAAGATGAAGAGTACAGGAAAGAAGCCAAAATGCGCGCCGCTGATTCGTTTCCTTTCAAGGTGCTGGTTGCAAGTGCAAATAACCATCGCTACACAAGACAGACCACAATGCCGCACGAAACAAATGAGAAACTGCTCCAGCACGTTTGGCTGCTTCTGCTGGATCGCAGTGCATGAAACCCGATGATGCTTGCAATAAACGAGGCCTGCATCTGCCACATCCTGCAAAGCTTCCTCACATGGCACCAGAACATCGGCTGTGGCCAGAGGATCTGCGGTGCTATGCCGAAGTCAAAAAAAGGACGCCATGTCCTCAACCGCTTCCGCTGGTGAGACCTCTGCTTAGGGCAAGGCCGAAAACTAGAAAGGCAACACCTGGGCCGTGCCCCTGGGCCTGCAAGGCCTGCACCGCCTGCGCATCAAGTCGAGATTCCAAGCTCAGGAGTCGCCGGTCCTCAAAGTGACACGTGCTCTCTGCCTCTCAGGCCTCTTGCCTCAGCCCTCTGTCCTGGGAATGTAAGGCTTCTTGCATTTCTGGAAGCTCCCTCTGCCTCACAGACGTACGACGGTCGCAGTCACCACAAGGTGCTCCCCTGCTGCAGAGGAGCAGATTCCAAAGAGCAGCTTCCAACTGCGACCTGGCGCTTCAGATGCCACATCGCCACTGCTCGCCCAACCTGACACCTAGGCACCGGGCACGCGTTGTTCAGCCACCGACTGGCGAAGCTCCTTCAACAACTGCCAGAATGGTTTTTTGAAGAGAACGCATTTCGAACAAGCAGGACTCCTCAGCGGGCTCACACGGACGGCCTCCCGAGGCACAATGACGGGCGCTTAGATTTCACAACATTGCCCCGGTGCCTTCGGCCGTACGGATACCATCCTGTGGCACTGCCGAGTCAGTGTTCATGCGGATTCATGCGTCCATGTGTTCTGATAAACTCCATGGAAGCTGATGGCATGTGAGTTGAACCTTTGCCTCGACAACGAAATCTGCACTGTGCCTTGCCTGGCAGTGCAGAGGAAGATCTCGCTTCTGCTTCTGACGGAAACGGCGGGGCTTCTGCGGACGGGACGCGGCCTGCAGAAGGTCCTGCCCTTGTCCCGTCTCCAAGTCTGCGAGGCGTCGATCCTCCGTGAAACACCGAAAGGGGGGGGAAGGGAAGGGAAGGGAAGGGAAGAAAGGGGCGAAGAGAGGCCCCTTTAAGGCGCAAGGGACAGCAACCTGCGCGGCCGCGGCCTGCGCGTGCACGGCCAGCTGCACCTCCGGAAGCTCCATGCTTTGCCTCGCCGAGCGACAAACCAAGACTGCGCTTCCCGTCTAAGCCTTGCTAAGCCGGGATACAGGGACCAAACTGCAACCTCCAGTTGTGACCTGGGAGGGCACTTGATGGCGAGCACTGAAATCTCAATGGTCGCATATAGACAGATGCAGGATGATGCAGGCATCGAGCGCTGTGAACCAGCAGGGACGAACACGGCAGGAAATGAAAAACATGGCGGGGTCTGGATTCGCAATGCGACTCTGGAGACTGCACATTCGAAAGCTTGCAACAGCGGCTGCGATCCAGACTTGTCGTGGAAGATTAATTACAGAGTTCCAAGCTGCTCGAGGACTTCGCCAATTCAGGTTCTACAACTTCGGTCGACTCACGTCACACTGGCTTTTCCTTACGCGAGACGGCGACATCCAAGCGCGCGGCAAGCGCTGCTCGGCGACGAGGCTGCGCAGCTCCTGCGGAGCGAAAGTCCCGCCCTAGGCCCCCGAGACCCCTCCAAGGAGACCGCTGTGAGCCTCGCCGCCGAGGCTTCGCGGCGAGAGCCTCTCGGCTGAAAGGAAAGCGCGTGACCGACGCACTGCGCGTCTCCGCCCGGCTCAGGCCCCAACCTGCCGTCCTCGAAGATCTCCGTGACGTCCCGTCGCAGCTCCTCCCAGCTCCCTCCATCTCCCGCCCTCGTGCTGGACCCGCCCCAAGCCGACAGCCCCCCACCTGCAAGAGCCCGGCCACTCGTTGAGAAGCAGCTTCCGCGTTGATCGCACGTTCCTTCTTCAGTCCGCTTCCGACAGCACTTCTAGCGGTGCTGCAAACAACCGAGCAAGTCGTGGAGAACGGATCCAAGCCGGAACGATGCAAGAAAGGCTTCCTGAATTTGCAGTTTTGACCTTGCCACGCAAGAATCGCTGAAGCGCACTGGGCACGTGAGGCGCATGAAGCGTCGAAACTTGGACTTGAACAGGTTGTGTCGTGGCTCAGGTTCAACCGAAGTGACTAGCCTTACCCTGCCTTAACATCCCCGCCTGTCAAATCTGTGAAACTGAATTCGTGAAACGAGGTGAGACTGGACCGGTGATCTCAGTAGCCAAGGCCAGTTTCCTGGAACTTGTTGTTTCGAACCAGCTGCAGAACACCATCGCTGTTCTGCCGGACCTGACACGGATCAAGCTTCGCCGCATCTGCTCGGCCACCTGCTGGCGTGCCTCGTCCAAGCCCTGCGTCAGCTCAACCAGGTGCTCAAAGAGCACTGCTGTGCACTCGATGACACCCGTCAGCTGCACACGGAACTGGTTCCTGCGACACGAAGTCAGCCAGGCCCTCTCTCTTGAAGGCCTTACACAACCACTCTACTCTTCTCGAGGCTCATCGGAAGTCTCTAAGCCTCAAGTCCAGGATGGCACCGCTCATCTGCTCCGCCACCTGTGAGATTTCAGGCACCTGAAACAGCACAGCCGGGCGAGCGCCAACCCTTGCATTGCAGTAGAATTACCTCGCTCGCACACACGGAGAAATGGCGCTTCACACACACCTACCTCCGGCACATCGTCGTCCAATTTGACACGCCTCGCCCGAGGCAAGCCGAACGTGGTGGGACGCTCATGTGCCGCATTTGCAGGGGGCTTACGACATGCCGCTGCCTTTCCAATTAGTCACGGCTTTGAGGCTGGCGTATCGTCGTTCAGGGTTTCAGGTGTTTTAAGTTGGAGTCGCGACCCTGCGGACTGAGCGCTGGAGATGAACACCGTGAATCCCTTCCGGATTCGCTTCGGCTTGTGCACTGTCGCCACGCTGTCTTTCACACACACATTCCAACCCAGCACGGTTCATTTTCAAAAAAAATCAGCTTCAAGCCTGACATCGAGGTGCAGAAGGGAAGGTTTGCGAGGTCTTGCAGTCAGCAAGCAGGAACTTGCACGGAGTTGTTTGGCAAATGCAGCGTTACACTGCCACTGCTGCGCTACAGCCATGCATGCGCGAGACCTCGGGACCTCACGAAGTGCAAGGTCTCCATCTGATTCAATCTACACAACTCCTCGTCCACCTTCACATTTCCTAGGTGGTTGCAGTTGACGATGAACACGAATGGTTTGTGTTGATTGCATGCTTTCCCAACGATGACATCACGCTCGCGTCAATCTGGATAGTCTGCCGTTTGCGTGCGTCTGTCCAAAACTGTTGAAGGGTGTAGGTGCACGCAAGTCTTGCCACGGAGCTCTTTACGCTCTCAGCTTCCATCTCTCTCCCCTTCAGTCATTCCTTGCTTTCTTATTCTCTCCGGTCGCCTTGCACAGGACCGGACAACGACCAGACAAGCAGCGGTTCCGAGTACCAAACACACTACAGGGCCACACCACACTGTCACGACCGCACGGCCACCTGTACCTGCTAGGCATCGGGGGATGGAGGTGTGACATTGCGTTCGCTTGTCAAAGTCCTTGGCAGTGCCTTGAACATATCCCCCGATCATGCTGCGCGTGGTTTCAAAACACATTCGCACCCTCCAGAAACCAGCTCTGTGCCTGCCAGAGCTAAATACCATGCCTCTGTTCACTTAACGATGGAAACGCGAGAACAGATGTTCCAAGCGCAAGGCTCCAGTTTGTCAATGCGAGCGAAGATCGTCCCCTGCCAGGCAAAAGGGCAGCGTGCCGTGCATCCACCAGTGACAGTTCGTGACTATTGATGCAATTGCTTTCACTATTTTCACTCTCCGTCAGAAAGTGTACTGCCTGCATGGATTTCACGGCGCTCACGGGGTTTCCAGACTCCTTGCCCATCTGCACAAGACTTAGTCATCCAGTGCCGCTGTGCAACCCATTCGGTCCTCCCGCTCTTCAGACTTGAACTTGCGGATTACGTCCACTGCGCGTTTGCTGCCAAGTAGGAGTGGAATCGTGGAATCCTGCGGCATCAAATTTCGCCTGTGATTTGTCAGGCATGGCATGCAAGTTCGATGCACCTCGTCCATCAGTCGCTGGAGCTGCGCCCGGCTGATCTCCTGTCATGTGACGCTGTGGCAAGAAATCTAGACCCACACAACACTGCCTGCTTCATTACGCTCGGCGGGATATCGTACAGCGCCAGAGGCCTCTAACCATGGAACAAAAAAGACACTCAATCTCAACTCGGGCAGGACCTTACAGACTGTGCCCCGGTGTGAAAAGAAACTTCAAGTATCCGCAGAGTGCACAGGGCAAGTGCAGCCATGCCACTTGTGCTCGATCGGAGCTGTCATCTGGTCAAAGACATCCGATTGTGTGCTTGGCAACATCCAATCCTTGATCTACTCCACACCAGTACGACACGAAAACAGCATGTCCTCCTGGTATTACAAACTGTGCTTGAAGATTGACTGCCGTCTGCTCTGACAAAGTTGGACTGTCGGCGTTGCACGAAACTGCAGTCGATGAGGACCATGCGAGGACAACAGCGACCGTCGAATTTGCAGCTCCCCGCAACCCTGCTGCTGCAATTCAGCAGGGTCCAGCCACAACATCTCTGGCAAAGCTCAGCACCAGTGGTGCCAACAGGCGTGCCCTCATGCAGCGACGGTGCAGCAAAGGTTCGGTGACGATGTTATCCGCCTTTTTCGACAGAGAACGATCTACATCCTGCACACGAAGGAAGTATGAAGGATCGAAGCATGCCTGCCTGGTGACGAAACTTGCCGAGTCCTCGGGAAAGAGGTCCATGCCTGCAAAGTTCTGGTCGGCAACATACTGCATCCTCAGATCGGGCATCTGCAGCTGTCGCTAGCTCCGGCATTGTACAGCTCGTCGCTGTTCTCTGCTCTGTCCTGCGTTTCTTTTCGACCCACTTTCGACGGACCAGGCCCGGAAGCAACTCGAGAGTGATCGAGAGATCCTGACGAAGCAGGTAAATGCAAAGTAGCATCCATGCGCTCGGGCCAAGCCTTGGGATTCATGTGCTCCTCTGCCTCGTCTTTGACAAGCGATTGCCCCTTCATCCAGTTGTAATACGTGTGAAGGAAAACCTCGGTTTGAGGCTGGGAGTCTGAATGCCCCCACTTTTTGCCATCTCTCTGCAGGCAACACTTGCTCATACTAAAAAGATGCAAGCTACAATCATGGGGTTCTTCTTGTTCGCCTCCACCGCATACAGTCTGGAAGCCAACGAAAATGTATCTAGGACAATGGCCACGAAGATGTTCAAAAGTACGAAGTAGATCAATGCCTAATGCGGCAAAACATCTGCGAGGATGAGCACGTTGCGACGGAACGCTAAAGTAAGCAGAACAGTGAAAGAAATTGTCGCAGCCGAGCTTGTCACGATGTAGCCCAAGAATATCAACGTCACCACTTGGTCCTCTTTCTGATATGCCACATCAAATACCGCTTGTTTGGCAACACTGGCCTTCCCAGGCCGGAACCACTCGACATCTATGGAGTAACCGTCGATCAGCAGGAAGAACAGGACCTGAGATCAGTGTCCGGGCGAGGCGGAAAAGCTGATGGGGAATGTGTCTAAGACAGGCGCGAGAAATGAGCCGGGAATGGTAACAAAATTCTTGTCACTTGTCCCCAAGCCGAGCCTTAGACACTTGGCATGGCATGCTGGGTGACGCGGTCATGCGCAATTTGCTTCGCTCCTGTTTGAATACGATGGATGAATCTGGACGTCTGGTGTGATGACAAGCTGCGAAAATGCGACGGCAAACCCGAAGAAGACCACGAGAAGTAGTGCTGCGAATATGATCAGCCTCATCCAACGGAAGGCACGAAGATGTTGGACACATTTGCAGATGCGGGTGTCGAGCCCCACCAAGCGGTTCCCTCTTTCTCTAATCCCTCTCGTTGTTCTCCTGCGAAAGCCTACTGTGAGTTAACTAATAACAAACGAAAGCACGGCCGACTTCTTTTGCTCTTGCGAAAGTTGCATTAGTCGGTGCGAAGCAACGCGATGCCTGTGAGAAAGGAAGACTCAGGCATGCGATGCTGAGTTTGATTCCCCCAGGGTTGGGTGGGTGGGTGAAAAAAGGAAGTTAGCGGAAGCGATCCGAGAGTCGACAGTCTTGAAAGGCAACGCGGCGCGGGGTTTTGCATGTGCAGTCACGGTCCTTCGCAGAAAACACTGTCGACTGAACCAAAAAAAACTCTCGACAAGCGTTCTCTGCGAAGCCTACCGTGGGTTAACTAGTAGCAAACAAAAGCACGGCGGACTTTTTTGTTCTCGCGAAAGTTGCAGTTGTCGGTGCGAGGCAAAGCAATGCCTGTGAGAAAGGAAGACTCAGGCATGCGATGCTGAGCTTGAATCCCACTTCTGCAACCTCTGCCTCGCAGGCTATTTCCCCTCACCGCACGAGGTTGTAGGAAGGACCTGGCAGGCAAGTAAAGATCTCGACCGTGCGCAGAGACTGAATAGAAGCCGTCAAGTGGAGAGACGAGGCAGGGCGCCTTTTCCTTTTTCTCGTATGCTAACGCAGCAGGCTGCGCTGTGCCTCGCGGAGGCGGGATGGGAAGCTATTCTCCTCACCCCGGAGTGAAGCGACCTGCGGCAGCGTAATGCGCACGCGGTCTGCGGAGCGATGCTGGATGAAGCGGAGGCGTTTTCGGCTGAGGGCGTCAGTCCAATTGTTCTTCTCTCCGGCAAGGTGCTCGACTTGGAACTGGACGCGGTGCAGGTGTGCCCAGGTGGCAGCAAGACGCAGGAATGTGCTGAGCGGTTCGGCAGTAGTAAAGAGGCGGTTGACGCCGCTTTCTGCAGAAGTGTTATCGCTAGCGCTGGGAGGAACGAAGCGAACGTGCTTG